TCTGGGCTGGGGATTTAATAATAATCAAATCATAATGGAGCGTGGCCCAAAACATTTGGATCGTATAGACTCCTAAATCGCACAACAGACAATTGTGAAGAATAAAATATATTATGGAATTACACATCTATTTTATAGGCACATAGTATTACACACGCGTGCACACACACACACACACACACACACACACACACACACACACACACACACACTCACTCACGCACGCACGCACCCATACACAAATACACACATACATACATACATGCACATATACACCCATACGTACATACGCACAAACAAACTCTCGACGATCTACAGCTTTGATGGATTATGTCTAATCGAAATATAATGAAAATAGAAATGCTTTTAGTTTTTTTTCTTAATAAAGATTTTTAGATTTTTCTGCTTCTCAGATAGTTTTTGGAAGCCTAATCCAAACAAGTAGGGCAAAACATGAAAAAGAGCATTGTCCATATGATTTGTAATTAATTTTAACTTTAACAAGTGTTCTTTTGTTACTTGATGATCTGAGCGTTCTAGGTGGTACATTAGGTGTTAAAAACTGGGGAGTAATAATATACATTTTCCCGATCAAATTTCAATTTCAAGATAGAGAGTTTAAACCCAATAATGAAATTTCAAACATCAAAATTGTCAAATTGACAAAGGGTAAGTTCCAAAACTACCAACTAATATCGATGACATGTTGTTGTTTTCAAATCCCTTTAGCTGTGAGCATTTCGCTCTTGGCAGCGCAATGCCTCCCTCTAGTAACCACATGTCCTTGTCATCTGGTCAACGCCAGAGTAGAGCAGGCTTTGTAAGTCTGTAGGTGTGTGTAGGAGCTTGCGTCGAAGAACTGCCAGGTTTGGGCAGTGAAGGAGAAGATGTTCAACGGTCTCCTCGTGGTAGTCACAGTGTCTACAATGGGGTTCCCACATGGGGTTGATTCTGTTTATGTGCTTGTTGGTGTGTAAGTGTCATGTGCGGGCTCTGAAGATCAATGTCTGATCGACTCTACATAAAAGATTCGAAGGGTCTTTGGGGTTGGGTGTGTCCATGTACCCGAAGAGAGATCTTCCTGTTTCTGCGTTGGCCCATCTGTTTCGCCACTCGTCTCTGCTTTTGGCTTGGATGATCCCTCTGCAGGCCTGTAAAAAGGTGGTTGTGTCTGTCTGGGGCAGGCTCACTCCAGTCTTCGATAGATGGTCTGCAGTCTCATTCCCTGGTACTCCAGAATGGCCAGGCACCCACTGCAGTGTGACCCGGACGCCATAGGAATTGTCCATCTGTTTTACAAGGCTGAGGATGTTCCCGTCACCTCTGTAGTCTCCTCCTCCTTCGACGGCTTGGAGTACTGACATTGAGTCAGAGAAGACAACAACATTCCCTGGTGTTATTGCGCCTTCAAAAAAGTTTTGGGCGATTCTCTCTGCGTCATAGTTAGAGCTGTATATTCCACATGGGCCAAATAGTTGGGTCTGCTTCTTCTCTCCAAGGTTGTTTCGATATTTGATGGTAGATTCGTATTCAGCATTTCGTGAAGCGTTTGTTGCTGACCCATCTGTGTATGCATGGATTGGAGTTTCAGCATACGAGTCCACTGTCTCCAGGGCGCTAGTTCTGAGTATTTCTTCTGGTGTGGTCTTGTCACAAGGAGGGTCTAGAAGTCTCGTCCTTATTGTGATTTCTGGTGTCTGCCAATATGGAGGTTCGCTGCAGATGTTGGTGATTGGTTCTCTGTTCTTGGGTGGGTCAAACTCCTCGAGTAGTTTTGTTGCTTCTGGCATAAAAGAGGTCTTCTGGATGCGTGTTCTTGGTTCCCACTCATCTGCCATTTTCCTGTTTTCGTTCGTCTCTTCTAGCCGCACAAACCTTTCATAGGGTTCGAGTGTAGCACTCTTTCTTCTGAGGTCCAGTGGTTCTATGTTGGTGTGGATTTCGCAAGCGCTTGTAGGTGTGGTCTTCATCGCGCCAGAAACAAATCTGAGTGCTTGGTTCTGTACTCTGTCAAGCTGTGCCACGGAGCTTTGGCTGGCTATGGATTGTAGTGGTAGGGAGTAGTCAATCACAGATCTGACATACACTATATAAAGTTGTCGGAGGGTTGCTTTGTCAGCTCCCCAGTTGAGTGTTTCAGGAGGTTTAGTCTGGAGGTGGCTTTCTTGGTCAGCTCTTCTAAGTGCTCTTTGAGAGACAGCTTTCGGTCCAGTTGTACACCAAGGTACTTGGGATAGTCCTCATGTCTGATGGTTCCATTGATCTTAAGGTTTACCTGACTTGCTGTAACTTTGTTTTTGAGGCTGAAGAGTCCAAAAACAGTCTTGTCTGTGTTGATCTCCATCTTCCATAGATGGCAGTAGGACGAGATAGTAGTCAGGTCTGCGTTGATGGCTTGGTTCAGTGCTCTCATGTCACTTCCTTTGCTCCATATGAGTAAGTCGTCAGCGTAGAGTGCTTTCTGGCAGGAGATGACATCTGGTAAGTCGTTCATGAACAACAGGAAGAGGGTACAGCTGAGTGCTGACCCCTGTGGGAGGTCTTCCTCAAGTGTCCTCTGTGAAGAAATCTTGCTGTCACATGACGTCTGGATAGTTCTGCAAGACAGAAAGTTCTTGATCCAGCTGTACATCCTTCCTGCTATCCCAAGCTTTTGCATTTTGTAGAACAGCCCCTGTCTCCACACACGGTCATACGCCTGCCTCAGGTCGATGAAGACGGCCACAACATTGTCTTTATCTTGAAAGGCATCGCTGGTCTTCTGGGCAAATCTGATGAGGTGGTCCATAGTTCTTTTGCCTTTCCTGAATCCTGCCTGTGATGTGCTGATTGTTCCGGTGCTTTCCATCCACCAGTACAGTCTGTCGTTGACCATTCTCTCGACGACCCTACCCAGGCATGATGTTAAAGAGATTGGTCTGTAGCTTGAAGGCTGGCTTGCTGATTTGTCCTTCTTTAATATCGGTGTGATGTTTGCCTTCTTCCATTCAGTTGGGAGCTGTCCCTGATTCCAGGTCCTGTTGTAGAAGCCCAGGAGTATGGAGAGGGAAGAGTCTGTCAGGTTGAGGATCATCTCATTGGTGACATGGTCTGGTCCTGGGGCCTTTCTCTTTTTACACTTTTTGAGGGCTGCCTTCAATTCCGTCAGAGTAAACTCCTTCTCAAACACCTCCAGGTTTGCCTTGGGGGTCTGTACTACCCTTTTGGTTAGCTGCTTTATTGCGGTGCTCAGTTTGTTCTGGTTTCCTTTCTTGTTGATGCTAGCAAAGTATTTATTCATAATCTCAGCTCTGCATGTTTCTCGATGACATAAAAGATAGAATAACAACTAAAATCAGTGGCGCGGCAGCCTGGTGGTTAGGCTACCGAGCTCGTAAACGTGAAATTACGGGTTCGGAGATTCGAGCCTCAGCTCTGTCCGACGTTGTGTCTTTGGGAAAGGCACTTTACGCGAATTTCGCATTTGGCTCGGTCCTTTCGGAAATGGACGTTACATTCGGAGGTCCTGCCTCTTAAATAACATAATAGCGTTGATAGGAGCGTTAAATCTATTCCATGTCACCACTTTCAACTACAATCAACACAGTGGGCCCTGACATCCTTAGGCGCGTTTGGAAGGAATTCTCGTATCCACTTGATGTTGTCCACCTGCCGGTGGTAGCTGCACTGAGCAATTGTAAAACATGAAATACAAACTTTAAGGTATGTTAATCCAATGTGTCCAGCCTAGAGTTTTTTTCTACTGCGTCTCGTTGTTTTTTAAAAAATCGCGTGAAACTTTTGGTGTATTCTCTTTGAATCACCCTTGTATAACAACAGAAGAGCACTGAAAACACTGGGGCAAAAAATTCGTCTTAGTTAATTCAAATACAGCATAGTTTTACTTTACTTTTTAAAACTTTTATCCACCGCTTATACCCTTTGGGTGTCGCGGGAAGAAAGAGACGTCTCTCTACCAGCAACAGTACGAAAATCACGAATCTGTGTTTTAGTAAACATCGTCTCAGTATTCAGGGAAGCAGCCCTCCTATTTTTTAAAGCAACAGTCGTTGTTTACTGTTCGCGTCTCTCACCATCTGCTGTCTACATAAAATAATAACCGTAATCATGTTTTGTTTAGATCCAGCACTCTGGGGCAATCCATCGTTTGTAACACATCTAACATGAAAGACACAGCAACATTTTACGGATGGCTGAAGAAAAAGAAAGAGTTAGCCTGGAGCATAAATAGAGAATACCAGTATACGAAAAGCCTTTTTGTGAGGTGAAGATTACATAATGCTGGCAGTACATTTGCAAATCAACCAAACTACTGCTTACATCGAACGATCGAAATTGAAGACGTTTTTAAAAAAATCGAAGTGGGAAGAGATTTGGGAAAGACACCACGGAAATGAAAGTTGAGCTGGTTTCAATTGTCGAAAGCCACCAAGACTACACTTTCGACGAAATAAACAGGTCTTCGAATCACCCTGCCAGACGCACTTCTCATTTGTCGGTTAAATGGTGAGGTTACTTTAAATACATTGTAATTGTAAGAGTGGGGGACAGAGAAAGAGAGAGAGAGAAAGAGAAAGAGAGAGAGAGAGAGAGAGAGAGAGAGAGAGAGAGAGAGAGAGATAGAGATAGAGATGGTATGGTATGACACACAGAGAGAGAAACAGAGATAAATACGGACAGAGATAAAGCGACAGAGACAGAGAGATTCAGAGAGACACAGAGAGAGAAAGACAGATACAGAGAGAGAAAGACAGATACAGAGAGAGAAAGAGAGAGGAGACAGACAGAAGGACATTTCGAATTTGGACTGACAATAATGGAATTTAACTCGCATAGCCAAAAATTGTCCTTGTTGAATTTTAACTCTGTTGTTAAATTTTAAAGCGCTATTTGGATATTTGAGCTTTGTAGTGTTACATCAATTGCTGTGTCCATTTTGGTGTTTGAACTTTTTATGTTGTAATTGATTTGACTATGTTGAACAAATTCTGTTAAGTTTT